GCCTTCTGTTAGTCGTCTTTTTTTCCACATCTGTCTGAACACTGTGCTTTTCCATGATAGGTCTTTGAGAACTTGGCAGCTTGCCTAATCATACAAATTCCCCATGTATGCTTCTTGGATCCCAATTTATGGGCAGAAATTATAAAGCATTAAATACAAGTATTGCTGTTAATGTAATTTTAAAACTTATAAATCAATAACGTCAAGAAATCCAGAAGTTGCATCCACACCATTGAGTTTTGTCAAATTGCTCTTACTATGTATTATGTGATATGAATTACAGAAGAGAGATGGTGGGTTTCATAGTTAACATATTACTTTTAATAAGAAAAAAATTGTAGAGCTGATTCTGTGCTGATTTATTTGTAGTAGCATACAGGATATATTAACAGAGGATGGGGCTGGACAGAAGTTGGCTGTGCTAAAATCCAAACTGCTTTTTGAGGAATGCAGGAGTTGCATAGTGCTTGCAGCATCTTACTTAGTGTGATGTATTCTAGGTTAGAAATGTTTCTGGCTTCACTGTTGTATTGCCATATATTTAATGCTTTCTGACAATGGGGTGTTTGGAGCTTCATACTCAATACTGCATTTAAATATGGGTGTAGCTGCTTTGCCTGCTTACCTGCAGTTGCTGCATCTTACTAGTTTATGGTTGGGCTGGTTGTAAAGCAAATCTTTAACCATCTCTTGCTGATGTTCCTAGACTTCAGAAATGATTGGTAAACATGTGCACCCTGCACCTCTTGCTTTGGCACTGGATGTGTGGCTCAGCCCTGTGGCACCGCCTGACCTGCACTGGGGGTTGTTTGGTCTCCTCTTTCAGTGCTTCTGGGAATAACTAGATGGGCTTCTTGGAACTTCTGATTCACATTTCATATACTCTAAAATTTACTGGAAATCGGTGAGAGAGCCCCAGGGGATGGCTGCTCTATATTTTAGACTACAACTGTAAATCTTGTACGTATTTTTTTTCCCCTACTGTTCACCTGTCATTCCCGAGAAAATACACTTTGAATCAGCTGCTACCTGTTCGGCTTGTCTGGGTTTGGAAGTATTGCATCCCGCGGAAGAGAGGCTTAATGTAAATGGTATTTTCTGTGTGCTTATCTCTTATTCAGAAGTAAATTAGCAATAAATGGGAGCCTGCGCCTTGCTGATGGCTCAGCCTATCTATTCTGCTTCTGCCTGACAGCATTACTACTCTCTTGTACTAACCGCTGTCTGCAATTATTGCAAAAATAATTAAATAAAATGTGTACTTTGCTCAGCCTTAAATTCTCAATTAATATTTCTTTGCAAGATGACTTTTTATTGCCAGATCCAGCTAAACTATTGCTGTTCTAAACCAACAGTTTCAAAAAGAACACAGCACTGACATTTATAGAGCACTGAGAACATAGTCTGTGCACCATCTCCAGCAGCATGATTTCTACAATGTACTGCAGGGAACCTGCTTGGAGAGGGGAGTTGGATTTGATGAGCCTCAGCGGCTCCTTCCAACCCCTGCAATTCTGTGATTCTGTTTACAGCACTGTGGCTCCTGGCTGCTCCTCTATCACCTCCTGTCTGGCACAGGGCTCAATGCCGTGGGCACAACAATTAGGGACACTTTGCACATTCCATGACTTTTTCTCATTTTGCTGCTTACTCTTTTTTTTCCCCAATGGGCATTATTCACTTTCTGCATCTCAGAGGTTTAGCATTGAGGAAGAAGCTTCAAAGTGGTCTGAAGAAGACGCAGAAGAGCCCTGGGATGTAGTGTGGCCACTGTGATTTGACACAAGCACTGAAAATAAATCCTAAACAGCATATTTTCAAACTTGACTTTACATGAATCCATCTTTGCAAACAGTGGGAGGCATAAGATAAAGTCAGGGTTTGCCTTTCTCTGTGAGACTAATCGTTTCTAAGGGAAATTCCTGTAGAATGAGGCTTTCCAACAAAGGATGGAATGTGAAGAAAATGCTTTCCTGTTCATGAAACAAATTGGAGAGTAGGGAAACAAATTTCTTACTTGGGAACTGTGATAGATTTTGTCCTCATTCACTCACTGTTCAGGAGAGCAGTAATTTACAGTACATAGGATAATGTAAAAATCTTCCTGTGTTGGTGCTGGAAATGCAAGATGCCAATACGTGCTGTCACATGGTGGGACTGCTCGTGTGTGATTAAGACAGGAAGGGGTGATGGTGGGGTCTGGGAAAACCATTTTCGTCTTAGGGGGTCATGGTGATGTAGATTCAGTGAAGCATTACATTTTAGATGATGTTACTGAGAGGTTTTGCATTCTTTCAGATTTTGGAATATGTTTTTTTCATCATTAGCACTAATTGCTGCTGAAATGGAGGCTTCAAAACATCTTATTCTAAAATTTAGGAAGTTGAACTTCAATGCTATATCAGCATGAAGATGAAGAGCTAAGAAGAGAAAAAAGGGTCTTCATGCATCCATTTATCGTGTTGTTTGATCTGAGGATATCAGTTTCTGGTGAGAAACTGGAGCAGCATTTGTACAGACTGACGTGCTCTGTGGGGATTGTGATTGCATCTTCCTGTTGTTCTCCTGTGGGCTGTGAGGTATCTGAGATACACAGTTCTGAAGTGGAAACCTGAGCAGTGCTGGGTAGCTGTCACTGCTGTGTGATACACCTTTTGTCTGGTGTGTGAATGACAAAATAGGCTGGCTGATAGGAGCAAAGGTAAAAGGAGAAATTTCAGTTTGAGGGGAGTCTAGAATGTGAACGATTACTTGGGACATTCATGCTTTTCTTGGACTCATTGGGCTTTACTCAAACTGTTGTTTTTTAAGAACAAGCAAGTGAAAAATCCACTGGCGATGCTGAGACTTGAAACGTATCTTTCTTAATCCACACACTGAATACTTGTGTGCTTGCTTCCATCTGGAAAGGGTATAATTGCATCCTTGTTTGGCTCCTTTAATTATCTCTTTGCAAAGGCCTCGGCTGGGAATTTTGCCACTTATAATGCACATATTCAATCTTAAGAGCATAAGCTGTGCTTTCAAAGAACATTTTTGTAAACCTTTTATCATTTGTTAGCTGTTTTCGAAAGCAAACATGAGAACTTCTCAATGAACGTTTTAATTTTTAAAATCCTCAGAAGGATTTTGTTTTCTAGTAGTTTGGCTGTAGTTGCTAATTAACTTTGTTAATTAATCATGCTATAGGGATGAAGCATGCTTGATTAAAAATAAATAAAGCTGTACAGCTACAAAGCAATGCTCCTGATTTTTCCTATTTAGAAGCAAAGATTAAAAAAACAAGATTAACATTGAAGCTGCATGTCAAATGTTCTTTGCATTGGAAGCATCTGAAAGGCTAAAGCAGCTGAAAGCTTACTATTTCTACAGCACTGTCAGTAAAAGTGCTTATCCAACTGTAACAGCATGGAAAAGCGGGGCGAGAAGAGCAGCTAAGGGTTCTGTCTTCATCGTCACTTGGTGATGCTTGTTTTCAAAAGCCCTTCTTCTCCCTTGTCATGATCCTACACGAAAACTTCTATTGCTGAAAATCGGTGTTAAAAGTTGTTGGCTCATAGCAGGACTTTGCCCATGTTTCTCACCCTTTACACAGCATGTATTTACACAGCAGTGTTGGGAATCACCTTGCTCTGGTTAGATGCATCCCAATTGGATCTTGATGGAATTGCCTAAGGGCTTGCTGTGCTCAGAGGCACTCAGCACCCTGCTCACACCATCTGCTCAGAGCTGGCATGGGTGCTCGGCTCCTCTGCCTGCAGGCAGGAGGAAGCACGCTGGGATCTGTCTCAAGTGGGAGCACAGAGCTTGCTTGCCTCAACATTCACTATTTTTAGATGCTCTTGCAACAGATGGCTCTTCCACATCCCCTGTTGTAGGTTTTTTCTTCTAGATCACAGTCTGGTTTCATTTTTTTTTCTACTTGTAAGAATTCAGTCTGTTCCTAATAGGAGGAATGCTGTAGGCTCTGTATGGGAATGCCTGTCTTTACCCTCCTTTACTGGGAAAACTGTGAAGGAGCCTTTTTGACTCTTACTCCAAAAGCATGGGGAAAATCTCATCTCTTTGCTGATGGAGCTTAAATGGAAATTAGCTTTATAAAAGTTATAGCATTCCAGAAATGTTTAAATCTCTAGTAGAGGTAAAGTGGAAAGGGAGAAGTAGGAGTTGTCCTCATGCAGGAGAAATGACTAAATAAATCTATGCAGATTGCTTGCAGGATGGAATTGTGGTTTGTGGTTGGTTTTGTTGTTGTTAGTTTTTTTTCCCCTGCATCTCCTGTCATAAAATATCTTTAGGCATTTGTTTTTGCAATTAAAACGTCAACCCCCTCCTCAGAGGGCATACTGGCTTTTTCCACTAAAACATATTAGGGCACTGAAGCGGTGCAGAAATGCAACTAGCTGTTTGCAGCAGATGAACGAAATCCTTAAAATAGAATGAACCAGTTTTGTAGTTTGTGAAACTGTGTATCACATAGGAGGAGCAAATGCTCTAGGTGTGTTTTAGAAGCTGTTTTTATGGTATTTGCTGTAAGGCTATTGATGCCATGCTAACACCACTCCACTTTTCACGTGAGCATCTGGGTATCATTCTGGAGTAACACAGCTGTGACTTTCACAGGGTAGTGGTTGTGTCACCTGTAGCTTTTGCCAATATTTATTTTTTTTCAGCGATGCATAAATTTGCAAAGCACAATACTACAAATGCCTAGTTAATCTGAAACCCTTGCAATAATGAATGGAGATTGCTCCAGCTAAACCAGAGAAGTTTTAGCAGTTTTAGCATGGAAATGGAAATGGCCTTTGGGGAAGGCAAGAGAGGCAAGAGCATCAGGAGGCTGGGATGCATGGGCTGGAGCTGGATCTCAGCGAGACAGAAATACCCGTTATTTAGTTATTCAGACAGTTCAAATCTTCCTTTCCAGTTAGACCAAGTAGGACTTCTAGGCAAAACTTACATAAATGGAAAATTTCAAACTTGGCATTATGTATTCTGACTTACAGATGCTTTTTTCAAGAACTTTTTCACCTGCAGATGTCATCTTTTGTTGCATGTGCTGACAAGTTCTTCACGTGCTGATAAATGACAGCGGCATTTCTGCAGGGTGCTTTTCTTTTAAAAAACAGATATTTTGCCTTAAAAACAGGCTGCTTGAGAAAGTGTCTTTGTTTTTCTCAAATCCATTTTTGATTTTAGGAAGTCTATGGGGTATTGTCTCTTCTGTGTGTTTCCAGAGTAAATTCCTCTCCTCCTTTACCTCCCTCTCAATGGCAGATTTCTGCACCACTTTGCACATTCTTGGTATTTGCTACATTTTCCCAGTCCACGCACTGGAAACTCTTCCCTTTTCCATAAGCAGTAAGACTGTACTTACATTCCTTTCTTAAAACTTATCAGGAAAAAGTGTGTTTTGATTACCAAATTTTTAATTAAGCAAGTTAATTGCTGTATGAGTCAAGTCCAAGATTCAGGTAATGGTCTTATAGGTTAATAAAAAACTGATCGCAAAATGTGTGCAGCATGTTTAGTATTTTTAATTTCATTTTTATGCATACATTTATTGATAAAACAGACTTCTTAGCTGTGATAATGTCATCCAGAACAAAGCTGATGTGTGAAGCTGCAGGAAAACAAATCACATAGCCTGATTTGCATGGTTTGCTTCCATGTTGCCATCATGATGAGCTACTTTGTTGTTTGAATGGAGCAAATGATGTTTAGATTCACTTTATTTACTTTAGTTCTGTTGCCCTGCTGCAAAATAAAACAGTAACACAGCCATTAGATATTTCAGAGAAATACGGCAAAGAGAGCACGCTCTGATGGGAGGAATACCAGTGTGATGTGCAAAAATGCCACCGTAACATGGATGTGGCACATTCAGTGCAACATGACCTGCTATTCACGTGCTTTTCTTTCCATAGGGAGAAGCTGTCTGTGGCTCGGCTGCAGCGAGAAGTTGCACAGAGTAAGAGCGAAGGAACCATGGTAAGCTGTGGCATCTGTCTGCTTTGCAGTTCCTACTTTACTGCTCCTGTTCAGGCTGGAGGTACATTTTGTCTTGCTGAAGATGATGACCCAAGTATTAAGGCTGTCACAGATATGATGATGGGTTGCAAGCCATGAGTTCATAAATCTGAGGAAACTCAAAGCTCTGTCTTGGCTTGGTGGGCAAAGCTGTAGTAGAGAAAAGCAGTTTCCATTTCCTTGCTGGTTTTTCTTATTGGAATGGGAGACGAAGTAAGAAAGACCATAAACACAGAAGGACAATTTTGGATCAAAATGGAGTACATTTAGTTGTCTGTTAAATCTTGGCCAACTTCAGACTCATGGAAGAATGCAAGTATGGAAGACTTTAAAAAGTCAATCTCATTAGTTTGTAAATCGTGTAATGTTCTTACCTCTTCATTTGTCACATAGCAGCTTTTGAGATTGGCTTGAGAGCAGAAGATGAAATGGCTGATTTTTGGTTAACCACCACTCTCAATTTATAGAGTCTTATCTCTCCAAAACAATATTATTTTGGAGCCAACATGTGCTGGATGTTCTTAATTACTTAACAGCTGAGGAACTCTTCCCATCTGTTAAGAAGTTTGTTTGTCCCTGTCTTTGCATAAAATATCTTAGGCTTCCATGGGATAAAACAGATGGATTTGAAACCCAAACCAGTTTCCTTGAACACACTTGCGGAACTGCTGTTGATCTGAATGAGCTACCTAGTTGGCTGTGAAAGAATTTCATCCAAATTCTTTTTCCCCAAAACCTGATGAAGAAAAGCTGTAGAGGGTTGGTGTGGGGTGTGCACATTCTATTTTCTGTGTGATGCAGGGCCCTTAGAAAGCCAGCTGCCTCCAGCCAGTGCATTTCATAAATCATTATTAGTGGTTAATATGCTGTAATTAGATTTGGAGGAATGTAGGTGACTACTGGGAGGAGCCTGCAGTGAGCTGATTGCTGGGACTGTGGCCAGGTTCTGCTGCAGAACAGTTTCAGTGTGGCTGACAGGGACTGCTCAGGACAGGAGCCTCTGTCTATCTGCCAGTAATGCAGGGAAGTGGGATTCGCTCAGGTGGGTTCTGCTGGTTTGCACAGTGCAAGCATTTCCTCTGAACAGCCCCCTTGGGTCTGCACTGTGGCTGGCTCAGCCACCAGTAGGTTTTGAGGGGGGATTAAACAGGCAGGTTGGCCACAGGTAATGGGGCATGTGCTGGGGCAGGAGTTCTCTAGGAAATTAGAGGCAAGCTTCTGTCAGGTTAAACTGTAGCTGAGATAAAACTCCTACTGATTTCAGAGGTGATTTTGCCTCAGGTGGGCTGGAAAATATCAGGCATTGGTTTTGCACTTCTGTTTTAATTTTCAGTGTATAAACAATTTTCAAAATCTGGGAAGAGCCGTTTATGATTTTTTAAAGGGTTTTCTTTAACTTTTTAAACCACTTTTCCCCTGCAGGCGTACAACTAATATAATAAATTACATGTAAAGTACGCTTAGTGAGACAGTTCAAGACTTCATGAAATAGGCAATATTGATTAACCTCCTTGATCTGATAATGCTTTTGGTATATGTGATTCCAGACACACCTATTTTCAGTAGAAAAGTGTAATTTGTAGGTTGTCTCTGTCCTGAAGTAACTTATAGGGGAGGAGAAGTTGTAACAAGTACATTGCTGCAGAAGGTCACTGCCTGATGATTCGAAGACCATTACAATTCCTTTTATTTACTGTTCCACAGCTTTTGCTTATGTGCTTTTTGGACTTGAAGATGTCACAGAAAATGAGAGCCATGTCCAGCAGCTCTCAGATGCCTGGATGCCAAAATGTGCCTTTGGGAACTTAGGCACCTGGCCTGAGTGTTGTTACCTACCTTGTAGTTTCTTCTCCTGAGAGCCTTCCACCTCTGGTGCCTGCAGCCCTGTGGGATTTATCACACAGCACTGCTAGCATGGGGTGATTTGGGGTAATTGGTTGTGAGGCAGAGTGTTGTAACCTGCTACAATCTGACTGGTAACTTCCCAGGGGTGCTATCTCTCCCCAAGGCAAGTGTTACTGTTCCTGCTTTTTCCTAAGGGGTCATTTCCACAATTACCTTGCAGCTACTGCCGAGGCAAGAATGTGCCTGTAGAGACAATTGCTTTGAAGTATCTAATGTATGGAAACTCATCTGTGTCTCAGGCTTGGAACTGGTGATTTTAATATGAAACACAGGAGTCATTAATTAACATCAATGAACTTGGCCATGAGCAGTGTGGGAGCAGTAAGGGTCCAGAAGATGGAGTGTGTGAATACTGTGAACCAAGGGCATGGAGCAAGGAGCCTGCAGCACAGACCACTCTCAGGGCAAATGCATATGAAAGGTGCACAGAAGAATTTTGGAAAGAGATTTTGGGCATAGAGAGTCTCTGGCAGAGGGCCAACCTCCTGCTGGCTGGTGTGAGGGAAGTTCTTTGAGCGCCTTAGGAGGGCATTAATGGTGGCAGGAGGTGGTGGCTGATGGGTGCCAGGCAGAGCCCCCCAACATACACACCACTATTAGCCAGTTTGCACGGATTAGCTGATTGAGATGTTTTTCGTTTTGTGGTGAGACAGCTGTACATGACCATCCAGAATGTAGCTTGTCTTTCACCTTGCTGTCACCACTGCTAAAATACACTGCCCACCACCTCACGGTGCTCACATGGAATGTTTGCTCTCCATAAATGTTCAGCAAGCATCAATGAATTTCAGTGGGTGCCATTTTTTCCACGTGGAAGAATGGGGCAACACGCTTTTGCTCTGCACACACTTCTGCCTGTTTGGTTGTGTGAGAGATGTATGGATGAACTTCACTATTGCCTTCCCAGAAGAAATCGTGTGGAGAATATTCTATTGAATATGCTATTAAGGATGTGCTTGTGCTTCTCTCCATGGAGAGCCTGCTCCACAGCATTCCCTCTAGAAGTTTATTTTTGCACATGTCCCAGAGTTACATTTTTCATGACTAGATTATTGTTGAAAGTGTATACATATTAGAACATACTCTAAAGAAGAGAATAAATTAAAGGATTGCATTTCAAGACTAATGTCCATCATCAAAAATATATGAATAGTCTGTAAGAGCCAGTTTTTCTATATGGTTGTGTTGAAATCTGATACATTATACGTAGAAGTGAGTGAAAATGTATTTATAAATTGGTTTAATAAGGAGAACTGAATACATTTAAACTGTAAATACCTGACAATGTGCTCAATTTTCTCCATTTTATGAATATCCATCAATAAATATTGATGCTTATTTGTTATCAAAATGTACATCTGCTCTACTGCTAGCCAGCCTACTAGGAGTGTTAGCAGCACCAAGCTTAGCTGTGGTATGGCTCTTTCTGTTGCTTTTGACCTTTGGTTCTTTAATGTGCATTTTAGAAATTTTCTTAGTCATGTTTCTTCTGACTCTTCAAAGATATTTTATCTTAGTATAAAGAAAAATAATTCCTTCGTCTGTACGCTTCATACTGAATTTAGTAGAGGCTGTGCAGGTGTCTGTGGTACAGAGATTCTATTAAAATTAGCAGCTTTGAATGGGTGAAGTATTTAGTATGTATTTCAAAACATCACAGAAAGTGGAAATGGTTTTAGTCCTTAAAGTCCTTTTTTTTTTTTTTTTTTTTGACTCATTAAATCCATACATTTGTACCCAACTTTTAAGTCGTAGATTTTGTACATTTAGGACACAGAACACAGACCAGGAAAATTATTCATCTTTGTGAAATTTTATTCATAGTGAACATAGTTGGGTTAGGAAAAATGAGGAAAATGATGCCATAGTAGACAGCAGAGTCCTCGTGACAGGGTAAGTGTTGTGTTAGTAGAGACCTAGATTAAAAATCTAGGATAAACAAAAAGTACACACAATTATGTGATGTTTTCATAACTTGGATTCATTTAATAATTACTCAGAGAAATGTTCAATATATTCTTTATGCAGTTGCTCCATATACATACATGCTTCATGGTTGCTTCATTTGTTTGTACTTCTGCACCCAAGTACTTTAAATCTATTCTATTTTCTATTAGTTCAGTGGCCTGTAACCTACACAAAAGAAATTGTACCATTTTGGCAATTTAACTGTGAAGGTTAAAGTGGGCTGGTAGTGCCTTTTATATCTGCATGGCTTTCACTTAGGGTGGGCCCTGGGCTCTGATTTACTCTGCGTCCCGCTGCGCATTTAAGTGATGCAAAGTGATTATCGTGGGCTCTTCCCGGTGTCTGTCTATTCCACACCTGCACCCTTTTGTTAAAAACCCACCATGCTAACTGAATGTGAGGTCCCCACTGAATAGGTTTCCACCCTCTGGTAATCCTTCTGCATTAGATTGATTTATGAATGTATCAGATTCTTTGTTAGCATGTAAACCACTAATTAATTTAAAGCTCTCTGTGGAAAAATTAAAGCCCTGGTTAAGGCTTTCAGCAGGCTCAGATGGTGCTAATAATGGAAAAACAAGTTATATTAATGAGTTCTGATGCGATCAGCACAATTCTTGCTTTACAAACAGTTTTTGCTATAAAATAGAAGAGACTGCAAGTTTTTAAATAAAGAGTAAAGTAAAAGGGAAAGGCAGGAAAAAACATTGCTACAGCAAGATATCCCGTTATTACCTGGAATGGAGTTTCACTTCTGCTGGTTAAAACTTTCTTAAATGTAATGTTTTTAGATATACATAGCAGCCAGTTACAAAGCCACTGGGATTCAAATGCAAACCAGTCTTTTTCGCAGATTGAATCAAAACTTCTAATGTAATCAGCATGATAAGATCTCTCTCTTGCTTCCTCTTCTCATTGTGAGCTGCTGAACTGGAACACTGAATGGTTGTGTTAGGGTGCAGAAAAGGTCTTGATTGAAATCTTATTAAAATCAGTAGAGATTCTGACCATATTCTTTACTTTTCCACACACCAGGCTGTTTTGTGTGTAATTTGTTTCCTTTTCCTCAACTGTAGAGCTTTAATGTA